TGTGTGTTTCTCTGTCTACCATCTATTGCTTCATACACAAACACTAAGTTCACACTGGAGGCCTTAGTGCTTATTTTATTAATTTAGCTGTCTGACACAGACACTCAAATTCACACCTATGGACAATTTAGAATCACCAATTAACCAAACACCATTGACTACAATTATTGTTCTTATTGGGCCACATTAGTAATAATTCTCTGGTTTCAACGCTCATCCCCAAAGGTTGTGACTTATTTAGGAAATGCTCTTAATTAAAAAGTCATTTTTATAGAGATTAATAAATTCAGTTTTTCAAAACCCCGAGTCAAAGCATAATACAAAAATAAGTAGCAGTGACAGAATTTTGCTATAATTGATAAACTCATAGCTTTTCCCTTTAGCTTTACTAGCTTAACGTAATTCAAAGACGTGATATTTATAAAATACATATATATAATAATATGAAACAAAATAACGAAGCGAAAGTTTACGTTTTAAAAAGAGGCTCTTGTGGTTGACGAATGCAGATTAATTACTGCTTATCAGTCGCTTGTTAAGGTTAATAAACCAACAACTCACCGAGGTTACTCGCATAGCCTGGTAGCCCGCTTACGCTTTAGAAAAACGGAGTGAAAGCCCAAAGAGTGAAATGAAAAGAAGAAAGCAGAGCATCAATAAAACAGTCATTACAGAAAACTAGCAAACAAACAAGAACCGTGTATTTAAAAGTAAAAGTGATGCCAGGACACAAAAGGGCAGCCAGCACTGCTTCTCAGGAATGTTTGTGATCAGGTTTTAGCTGCGTTAAAGCTAAAGGCGAGTCCACTTTTCATTCTTTTAACATGTGCAGGGAAGAAAAAGAAAGAGTGCGTTTGGAGAAGGTGTAAAAGTTTAAATGTCTGACTCCTGGCGCTCGTACGCCTGCTGTGGGCAAGTGGATGGGCCGCATGTTGTTACCTGGTGGGCTTGCATCCTCTCTGCTGGTGGAAGGATTCATGGCTGAGAGGTCTGCCGGGCAGCAGCTACAGAGCGGTGTTTGGATAAACCTGTTATTATTTGTCTCCAGTAGTTCTGTGCGCAGTTATACTTCAGTAATATGACCTGAAACCAGCCACACCTGCGGCCTTACAGCCCGCCTCGCACACTCCCGGTGGCAATTACCTGATTATACTGGCGGGAACAGGTGTACCGCGCGCAGATTTAGTTGTTTCACACATGCGCAGAGGGCGGTGTTTTGTTTTTTTTTGTTTTTTTTACCCCCTAAAAGATTTCCATTCAAATTAAAAGAAATATCTAAAAAGTTTTAAAAGGGACCCTTATTATTCTTTATTAATCAATAAAAACACTCACATTAAATAAATACAGTGAAACTATAACAATAAAAAAGTGCGTTTTAAAAATAAATTTCTTTGCGTTTATGAAGCTGTAAAATGCCAGGAAGCAAAGGAAAAGAAAAAGAAGAAGAGGGTGACATCCGGACCGGAAACGTGTCACCAGAAGGGCGTGGTGGCTGCAGGTGAGTGAGAGCGCAGATCAAGCCGGAAGTGAAGAACACGGTGGAGAGAACAAACCCGTCTACGGAGGCGTTGTTTTTTTATAACTTAACGGACAACAGCAGCACGTGAGTCAAAGTTTATGTGTGAAAGAAAGTCTTTAAATTAACTTTGATTCATAATCCGGCTGACCTAACCACTAAAATAAGCTCTCCACACTGCTGGTAGGTCCTCTCCAAAGTAAAGAAAAAACCGTGAAAATTAACGAACGACATCAAATACAGGTTTTACGGATTTAGCGTTGAACACAGAAGACGAACGTAATTTTTATGGATCAATTTGTAAAATTTCCTTTGGAAATGTCTTTGAAGCCAAAAACCATACACCAGGTAAATCTGATTCTTTAAAAATTATTCGTAAGCGCAAATCCAGGCATGATTTACTGTTTTGTTTGCCTGAGTCCACCTG